AGACACAGATAGCCATATGTGTGTATTGGAAGTGAAAAAGGAGATTTCTTAGGAGCGGAAGGGATTTAGTGTCATGGGGAAGATTTACTGCAGTGCTACTAATAAAACTTACATGTTATATTACAGTAAGGTTCATGTTTTGGGATCTAGTTGTCACTTGAATAGCTTGCTATTTTTTTTCATTCTGTGAAATTGATGAAGATGAATGTACATGGAAAAATTCCACATTGTGGTGAGTTGACCCTGGCTGGATGCCAAGTGCCCACCAAAGCCGCTCTATCACTGTCCTTCTCAGCTACACAGGTGAGAGAAAATAGAACAAAAGGCTCATGGGTCAGGATAAGGACAGACAGAGATCATTCAGCCATTGCTGTCACAGGCAAAACAGACTCCACTTGGGGAAATTAGTATATTTTGTTACTAATCAAATCAGAGTAGGATAATGAGAAATTAAACAAAATCTTTAAAATACCTTCCCCCCACCCCTGCCTTCTTCCTGGCCTCAACTTTACTTTATATTTTCTCTCCCTCCTCCCCCTCAGTGGCGCAGGGGGATGTGGAATGGGGGCTGTGATCAGTTCATCACATTTCTGCTGTTCCTTCTTCTTCAGGGAGAGGTCTCCTCACACTCTTCTTCTACTTCATCTGATGGGAAGCAGTCCTCCCTGAACTTCGCCAGTGTGAGTCCTTCCCGCACTCTGCAGTTTTTTGTGAACTGCTCCAGTGTGGGTCCCTTCCATGGGGTGCAGTCCTTCAGAACAGACTGCTCCAGGGTGGGTCCCCTGTGGGGTCAGAAGTCCTGCCAGAAAACCTGCTCCAGCCTGAGCTCCTCTCTTCATGTGGCCACAGGTCCTGCCAGGAGCCTGCTCCAGAGCAGGCTTCCCGTGTGGTCACAGCCTCCTTCAAGCATCTACTTGCTCCAGCATGGGGCTCCTCCACGGGCTGCAGGTGGGTCTCTGCACCGCCAGTTGGTCCCCCATGGGCTGCAGGGACACGGCTACTCCACCATGGTCTGCGCCACGGGCTGCAGGGAAACCTCAGCTCCCGCACCTGAAACAGCTCCTCCCCCTCCTTCTCCACTAACCTTGATATCTACAGAATTGTTACATATATTCGCACTTTGTTACTTGAAACTGCTGTTGTACAGCAAGTTTTCCCCCTTAAATCTGTTATCCCAGAGGCATTATCATTATCACTGATGGGCTTGGCCTTGGCCAATGGTGGGTCCATCCTGGAGTCAGCTGGCAGTGGCTGCATCAGACCTGAGGGAAGTTCTAGGAGCTTCTCACAGAAGCAACCCCTTTAGCCCTGCTGCTACCAAAACCTGGCCATGCAAACTCAATAAACATGTACAGCAATTCATGTTGCTTGGAGCAAGTTGTTCTTAAGTATGATAGAGACTACCCATTTTACAAAAGAGTTTGTTTTTTTAATTCTCTCTGCAAAAAGGACATTAGGTACAGTGTCTGTTCCCTCATGACCCCCAAAGATATGCAAATTGCTGAGACCTTCTGATTTCTCGAGGTCAAATCAAACTGAAGGCAATCCTCATCCAGCTTACCTGAGCCAAGTTGTTTGCTTTGGCACTGCTGCCACATCCTAAAAAAGCAGATTTTTTTCTTGCTTGTGGGCAGGTGGTTAGAATACCATATAGAGCTCATTTTTGACTGTCAAGATTGAAATTATTTCTCAGCCAAGGATAGCTATAAGTACATCTGTTAACTATTAAATTGTGGAGAAAAAAAAACTTAGCAAAGGTTTAAAATGTTCTTCAGATTTAAGAGAAGAGTAAATCAGACTAACTTCTGTAAAAATGTTTAAAAAGATACATGTGATTTCGTTATGTTCCGAACAAGAAAATTACTGTACCTCTGATAGACCCTTTTCTTAAACCAATGAAAGTTCAACTGCAGTTTGAGCAACAGTAGCATAGGTGATTATTACTAATGTGTCAAAGACTTCAGTAAAACCTGAAATTATTTTTTTATGGTTATACCAGTATGGTTATTAACAACTGTTTGAATACTATATATCAAAATCTGTGTAATTTAATGTTTTTGCCTGTGTTATTGCTAAAGCAAACCTTTTTAATGGGAAGAGTGGGAGGTGTTAAGCTGTCTTTATTTGTTTTTTCTTCAAAGACAGTAAATTTAAGAAAGAATACTCTTTATTAGTAGAGGCTTTATGAACTTTAAGCGATTGAACAGTAATTATAACTCATGCTAATGAACTAGATATGAAATTAACAAATACTAAGTTAACTATTACTTACAGCAATTGTTCTCCTAAGAATTCATTCAGACATCTTCTAAATTTAATTAAAAACTTCATGTGTGAGAGCTAACAGGTCATGAGCTAACAGTCAGTCAGACAAATGAGTCTAAGGATGCTCAACTAAGAAAGAAAAACAGAGATTTACAGAACTTTCCAAATATGTTTCATTATTGACTGCATTTCCTTCCTAGCAAATACCTCTTACAAGGAGTTGATGTAAAAGTCCTGATAAGCTAACTGTGCTTTAAATTTGGTTTGAGGATTTCAGGTTTTGGAGTCATTGTTGGAGAGTGCTAGAAGCATTTCAAAGTATTTTTTCCCTTTATATTGTATTAATTTGACACATATCATTACCCTTAAAGCTGTTATTTATTTACATAGTCCTAAATCTCCAAAGTGGATTTGTGTTAGTTATTTGGCTTTGTAGGATTGCACAAAAAGATGGAAAATAGTTTTGTTTCAGCATGTCTAGCTAAAATGATTAGGTTGTAAAAGGAGTGAATGGTAGTTTGTACATTTAGCTCAAGAGCCATATTGCAAATGTAGCACACACATTGGTCTCTTCCTTGTAATTTAGGCAAGAGGTTAATTTCTGCAAGATTTGTGTGAGAGAGGGGCAGTGTTACTAACTGATTAATTTTGATTATGAAACAATTTTTGCTTTCTTCGTAGGAAACAAAACTGCAAGTTTATAATTTTTTATTCTTAAAAAAAAAGTCAACATAGTCTTTGCAACGGTAATTAAAAATAACCTACTGTCATGAACAAAACATGGCTTTCTAAAGCCAGTAGCCTGGTTTGCTTGCAGGAATAGTTTATTGATCTGTTGTGGAGTAATTCCACAATGAAATTATCTTGAAATTTAAAACCAAAATCAAGTAACAGATGATCGCGTTTACTGTAGCACGAGCTTATTGCTGCATTTCTTTATTAATTCATGCAGTGAAAATCTCAAGTAAAAATTTGTTTTCAAATTTCATGTTCTACAAGATGGTCTTTGCAGGAGTATTGCTAAAGAGCATTCAATTCCCTAGGTAACTGCCCTATGCAAATACTACAGTAACATTTTGAAGGAATTGTTTTAGGAAAATAGATTTTCTTGCTAATCTTTTCTTCACAAGTATGCAGGTACTTATTTTTATGATATACCTTGGGGTTTTTTTTCTATTGAACCTACATGTGGGAAAAGTCAGATGATTTATATAATCCATACGTAATATGAAACTGTTCTGGAAAAAAAATGAAGCTCTGCCATTTTTTCTGCAAATTTCTGCTATTATTTTTTCAGCTTCCAAAGAAAGTACAGATAAAAATTCCATTAGAATATAGTAGTGGCATGCTCATCCTTTTAGCTGCCAGAAAAAATGCTGTTTTGAAAAGCACTGGTCAGATTTTGTGACTTGCAAAGTAGCTAATTTTAATTTTTACTTGACTAATATAGTAAAATAAAGTTAATAAAATTAACTTTTGAAGATTCCCTATTCATCTAATATTTCATGGTCTCCAGATTATTAATTAGCTTGTCCTTACAATATATTCACTCCTCCCCAAGCAAAAGAAACCTCACGAAACCAATTTTTTCATTTGGATTTGTGAGCATTCCTGATCAGTGCTGTTGCACAGTTCAGCTGAATCTCCCGGTAAAGGTGATTTTTCTCTCTCCAGTTGATTTTTCTTTAGAGTATGCTCCTTCTGCCTCCTGCTCTGAGGGCATATCTTCCAGAGAGTGAAAAGCCATGAGTAGCTGGAGGCAACAAGCTAGATCAAAAGTCTGTTTCTATCTATGGACAGACTTGTTTATTCTAAACAAAATAAGAGGTATCGCTATTCGTAGTCCCATCTGTAAATGCTTCATCGTGGTAATAATTCAGCATGCGTGACAATTGCCAGCTGGGGTTAAACTAGAACAACTTCTTTGCATGAATGATTGCAGAATAACAGGTCCCATCTGAAAGAAAGCAAAAGTGTGTGGTAGAAGGCAGACTGGCATTATGAAAATGACAGCTACTTGGGGAACTAAATATAGGAATTTTGCATGCTCTGCACCTCAGCTTTAGGACTTATCTATAGTTTGTCATTTTTGTAATATTGGGACATGCTGAGGCAGTATGATTTTCTGTGGAGAATGGCTTGAATCATCAGTGTCATTTTTTTCATCACTTGGCCTTCTAGAGATTTCCTTTAAGTTTATCCTGTTTAGCTTGTTACAGCTGACAAAATCCTACCCCCAGGACATAATCATTGCAGGAATATAAGCTCTGAATGGGAGGCCTGTTCAGATACACCAGAGTATTTTTGATGAGTATCTAACGCTACCACAGAAGAAAAGCATTCTCCATACAATATCTTTATGTGACTGCAGTATGTGTTCACTGGTATTTACCCGAGATAAAATCTGAAAGTTCAAAATTTTATTACTACAGAGATAGAAGTAATAATCCCTTAATTCTATTTAACTGAAAAGTCTCTTCTTCCTTTGTTGTGATATGATTTCTGACAAAACAAGGTAGTAAACAAGCCCTGATAGTGCAACTACCTCATAAAAAAATTGTTATGTATTTTGAGTAACACTCCTGAAGTATAAAGGATTTCAGTGTTTGTTATTTTAAGCAGATGTAGAGTAGTATGCAAGATCAAATTCTAAACTCATAAATACGGGAATTTTCTTAACAAAACATTGAATGTTTTTCTTTTTAACTAACCATTTTTTTTTCAATTGTCTTTAGAACCATTGGATACAAAAAGAAGTATGTGAAAGTCCCACATGGTCATATTTGGGTGGAAGGGGATCACCATGGACACAGCTTTGACAGCAATGCTTTTGGCCCCGTAAGTTAATTCTCTGTATGTCACTTTATACTTTGCAACTAAAAAACTGTATATGTCTATTGGGTCATTTGTGAAACACAGGAAGTGTGAATTTATTGTGATTGTTGTTTTATTATTTTTTTGAGAATTACTAGACTTTATAAAATATCTTGGTCAGTGGATATTGAGTTTGTTCTTAGCTATTCTAAAACGAATAGAGACTTCTTTTAATTCACCCCATGGAAAGGAAAGTGGTAGAGATTTTAGATTTGGAGGGATACACTGTAACAGTATCCAGAGGGCAAGCCAACTCCCTGAGGACATGTTGCCAGCTGATGTAATTTGGAATGTTATCCTCCTGGGAGCTTGGTCTTGCTTTAGCACCAGTGCTGGGATAAAGAATTAGGAAACCGTAACTGTGCTTACTAAGTGTTAACTAGTAAATTAGTCTGTAGAAAATAGTACAGATATTTCAAAACTTTCCCCAAAATAAATACTTAAATTTTCTTTGCATAGGATCATTTTCATATTGAATGAAAACATAACCTGCAAAATCTGTTTCTTGACTGGTAAAAGTGTGCATCTGTTCATCAGGAAGACAGTAAATGCTTTCTCTGCACTCTAGTTTTGGTTTGGTTTTAGTTTTGTTACAGTTTGTATAGATTCTTGTTCTTGTTTTAACTTAATCTAGAATGCAGGGAATAGTTGCATAAGCTGTGTATTCTGCTGGGGAAATACAAATCCTTTTAGCCCTATTCCACATATAGGTTTTTGACATGCCTTTAAGAAAGAATATTCTTCTAATGCTATTTTAAAAAACACCATTTGTCACAGGGAAGTTGTCAAGGCTGGGTTTTCTACCCTTATGCATTTCATATCTATTTCATAAAGAAGTCACCCCACAGACTCTAACTGAATTAATAACAACAAGGACTTTATGAGTTTGTCTGGCTTCTGGAAGTTTAGCCCAATTATTAACCTGAAATAATTTGTTCTGAGGAAAAAATGCAAAATTGGTTTGGAATGTGTGATATCAGTGCCACTCTTGGTTTGTCTCACTTATTTTTTAATTGTATTTCTTGCTGTTTTTCATTATTGTTTTCCTGCGACTATTTTCTAAGATTTCTAACATCTGGCTTTGGAAGTTTTTTCCTGTAGAATCTAATTCAGATATCTCATTCCTCCCTTAGTAGGCTTTTCTCTGTCACTCCTTGTTCCCAAGATAAATCTTAGCCATAAAGCCACTAGTCTTCTTTTTACTTACAAATATATTGCCAATGTAGACTCAGAGCATAAAGAAACTTTAGCAGTTGGACATTGGTTTCAGATTTACAGCAGCTCACACAGGAATTTTTACAAGGTAAAATCCTCAAGGTAGTCACTATGCAGTTTTCATGCAAGATAGCATGTTGGGCTAAATCTAAATATTATCAGATTTTGACTTAATCCACAGCTGTTTATAAATATTAGTAAACCACCTTCACTAGGCTCTGACCTCACATTAGTTAGCAGTTGTTAGCTAACATCAGATAGTATGTCACTTTTCGTATAGCATTGGCTGTACCATTTGAGAGCTGGTAGTACAGTTTTTGACAGTGAATTCTTTATTTTTCTGGAGGAAGAATGACCTTTATATTGCTTTGATGGATACATTGTGGGCAAGTCAGCTGTAAATAGGTATTTTCCTCTGAAATTAAATTAGAACAGCAATCATTGAATGCAGGCAGAAGGGGCAGAAGAGATCACAGGGCTGGAAACTAGCTTCAGAATAACAAAATATAGAAATTTTTCAACTGTAGAAGAAAATGAAAAGTGTATTTAGAAGGACATGCTGTATTCTAGGTTCTTTTCAATTCTACATATGTAAGATTTCAGGTTACTGGGATATTTTCTACGCTTCTGTGTGCTTTACTCTGGAGATCACTTGCACAGGTGAATTAAAAGATTAAAATTACTCTCTTCAAGCCATTCTTAAAAAATTTTCTCTCATAAGACTGCAGCAGTTGTAAGGAACAGACAGTACAATGGTAAGATATGGACATGTTTTTCTCACTTCATTAGTATAAAAATCACTTAAGAGATTAGGTTAAACATTCTCTGTGTCACAATTCTGACTTTTAAAACTAGATGTGTTTTCTTTCACCAGAATATTCACTAAAAATAGTGGGGTTTAAGTGGATTATGTTGTAGAATATGATTTTTTCAGCTTTCATATGATCTTATAGTAGAAAGACGTTTATAGACATTAATAGTGTAGACTCAGTAACATTTTGTAGATGAACTTAATGAGTTACATGGGGCATAAAAGGAAATTATGGAAAACCAGATTGAGAACAGATGTTAGAATAATTTTTTCTCTTGAAGAATAACAATATGTGTAATGGCCTAATGGGTTAGGTTGGTAAAGCGAAAACCCTGATACCAATCAATTTCTAAATTAGATGCACCTTTGGAGAGATATGAATTTCTAGGCTGTAAAACCTGGGCAAATTAAATTATCTTTATTTAGTTCATAAACATTTCATAAAATAAATTCTGTCATGTTGTGTTATTGTATGGGTTTATAGGACTAAAATTAGATTTTTAAGGAATAGATCAATATTTTTCTGAAGTGTGTAAATAAAATGAAAATGTTTCAACTAAGATTTGTAAAGGTTTAATATTTCCTTTCTGCTTAGTCATGTCTTCAAATGAAATTAATACCTTAACTGATATTACAAAAATAACAGGGCATCTATGGGTAGTGCTGAATTAGAAATGCTATTAACTCTCTATGTGATCAAAACCTAAATATCAATTACCTTTCCAGAGCCATGAACTAAATTAATTAGTTCATGGCTATTGTACATTGTCTTTTTTAAAAAATACCTTGTGTAATACTGAATGGCAACTGTTATATAATACTATTGCTGATGTTTGAAAATATTTCAGCCATTCATAATATTAAAAATAGCTCTTTTGAATAAAAGGCAATAAATACTCAGAGAACTTGCATATTTTTGCTACTTTTTAAGGGAATAAAAAAATTACATCCTTCTTTTTTTTTTTTTTCAATTACCTGGACTAGAATAGAGCTTTCTATTAAATTGACTGTTGCTGGTTTTAAATTCTGAATGAAGCGATGTTTTAATGATATTACCTCTGCATTCCTTATTTGTCATATTACAGGAATATGATAATGAGTAGCTTATATAATTAAGATACCCCTTTTTAAAGTTTCTTCTTTTTGTTCTCAGTTCAGGTAATTTTCCTGTTTTGGTGGGCCTTTATGCTATGAAGTTGTAGTTCAAGAGCACAGGAAATATAAAATTAATATTCTTGGCAATGCTTCTGCTTTCTTAGATCAGAAATGCAGGAGACATTATAAATAATTGGTGAAGTATTAAACTCTGCTACTTCAAATTTCTTAAAGATTTTAGAATGTTAACTTTATGCCAGATCAGATACTGTCTTTGCTGGCACAGTCAGTATAATACCAGCATAAAAGTAAAGTGACAACTTATATTCTATGTCCAACATTCTGGCTAAGTCAAGGGAAAAGTCATTATAAACTGTACTTTGCTTGGATTAAATGTTTAGAGCTGTCATCCAGCAGAGTGCAGAGGTGGTTTTGCAACCAACATGTGAGGGTATCTAAGAAACAATATATTAGGGAGGATTAGAGCATACTGAAATCTTGAAACCATGACAGCATTGCAAGCTCAACAAAACTGAAATTTATTACCAAGAGATGGCCAACAAAACAAACTCAAAAGGGAGGAAGGAGGAGAGAAATAAGCCCCCAGCATGACCTCCCCAGTTCCCCAGCTGTTGCCCATAAAGTTACCTTACCGACCTAGCATGCCTGTAATTACCAATAGCAGAAGCTGCATCCTTGGAAAGTCAGTAAGTTCACATATCAGCAGGTGTCCCATCCAAAGGCAACATTGTCCTTGATGTGAAACTATCTCTCCTCCAAGAAAGTACTGTCTGCTTTTATACAATTAGCTGAGTGACCTCAGCCTAGGCAGGTGTGGTCATCCCCGCCCAGCCAGAGGCCCTCTGCCCTCCGTCCCACCCCCTTGGTTATGTAAGTGCATCTCTTCTGTGCCTGCGCCTGCATACTGCACTCAGGGGGGTCTTTTCCAAATGAGTCTGGGGGCGTTACTTCATCACTATAGTCTTCAATTTCTCCTTCAAGCGACCTTGGAGGATGATTAGTCAATCACAGAACACCAATTAAATATAGTTTATACAAAAACTCCCTTCAAGGACAAAGTTCTCATTTTATCAGTGCTTGTTTTCTCCTAACTTGGCAGGGAAAGAACAAAACTTTCACAGGTGGCTGGGCCGAACACAGACCAAAAGTATCAGCGTAATTAACCCCTGATACAAACAGTTATTAATAATTGTATACAGTAACTGTTATATGCCTGGATGTACACACGTGCAGTGAAAAGCACTCTATAATTTAAAAAGAACAAGGCCAATTTTGTCTTATGAAGATTTCTTTGGTAAATATAATACTCTAATTAGTACATTTAGATGTTTCCAAATGCCTTCAAGCTGGGGATATGAACGAGCTTTATAAAACTAGGGCTTGAAGTCAATGGCAGTCCTTGGGCTGCCTTGTAAAAAATCTGAATAAAAGGTCATTAAAGTCAACGAGAGATTTCTATTGCTTTAATGGCTTCGGATGAGGCTCTTTAAGAGTTAAGATTCACAATCCAGTGTAAGGGCAAAAAAGGCTATTATTCTCCTTATCTTCCTGGGGAACACAGGTAGGTTGAGTACCTTGTCAAAAATGTATTTTTGGCTCAGCCACGTCCCTATCCTAGTCCTTTTACTAAAAATATGTCTATTTTTAATGTGTTTACTCTCAAAACAAAATCTCATTGAACCTGAGCCTAGCTTTTTTGTTTACATAACTTTTACATTTGTGAACTTCAAATAGTCAATTGCTTGTAGCCAGCGTTACTGTAGAGGCTGTTTTTATGATTGTCTATATAAGGAATTCTGTACTGTAAATTCATGTAACAAAA